GGACTCTGTTTTAGGCCATAAAGAGATTTTCGAAGTTTACATACTTTACCCGACTCCCCTGAGCAACAAAGTCTGGTGGTTGCTTCATGTAAACTTCCTCCTGAAGATTCCCATGAAGAAAGGCATTCTTAACGTCCAGCTGATGTAAAGGCCAGTCAAAAGTAGCTGCTAATGAAATAAATAAATGAACAGAAGACAATTTGGTAACAAGAGAAAGTATCAGAATAATCAAGCCATAGATCTGAGAATAGCCCTTTGCAACTAATCGACTTTTGCAACTAATCGAGCTTGAGAACGGCAACAGTCCCATAAGGATTCACTTTAACGGTGAAAAAACCACTTACAACCAATAGTTTCTTACCTGCCGGGAAAGGCACAAGATCCCAAGTACCATTAGTATCTAAGGCAGCCATCTCCGCTCTCTCATTGCTGCAGAACCACCAACCAGGATTGGAAATAGCTTGGACAACAAGTTTTAGGAATGAGACAGGAGTCTTAAGTTACTTACAAAACAACAAGAATGAAAGAAGAAAGATGATCATAACTAACAAAAAGAGGAAATACCGGGTAGGTAACACTTGCGTTTACCTTTTCGAAGAGCAATGGGAAAGGTCCAGGTCTCTGATGGGCAGTGGGACTTGGCATACAGGCCCTCAGGGTTGAGTGGAGAGAACCGGATCTTCTGTTGAAAAACGGCAGGTGGAGGAAGTGAGTCAAGAGTTTTCCTGTCTCCTGGAATAAGAAACCTGTTTTCAAAACGAGGGCGGAGATTGTTGGGGCAGGAGCGGGAATAGGAGGCAGTGCAGAACGGCTGGAGCAAGGAGCAGGAGCAAGGTCAGGATACGACAGGGAAGGCAGGAGCAGGAGAAGTTATGAACTTGCTGGATAGCATAGACTAAAAGGTCGTCATCCTCCCCTACTTTATAATAGAAGAAGGAAAAAATGGAGTATTCTCAAACATGTGACATCTGCGAAATAAGATAACGGTCAAGATCGGATGAAAAAGCAACGATACCTTTTGTGATGCGAGAATACCAAAGGAAAACACCAACGAAGGGGACTTTGGATCTAAGTTTGGAAAGCCTGTGGACCGAACATCACGAACAAAACAATTAACAGACACAAAATACGAGGTTCAATGGGGAATAGAAGTTTAGAAGGAAACAAGACATTATAAGGAATTGCACCATTAAGCAAACAAGAAGAGGCTATGTCGAATTAATAAAAACATTGCAAGTAGAGACAGGATCAGCCCAAAAATGTTAGGGAAACCTTTCATTTTGGAATAAAAAGTGGCCCTAGCAAAACCTCAAGAAGAATGTCGATTCTTCTTCTGCAACCCCATTTGAGAAAGGAGTATCAACGACAAGATGTTTGATGAGAATACGATTTTGTGAACATATAAGATTGGAAGGACTAGATAGATTATATCTTTAGCATTATCAACTGTGCAATATGCGAAACGAGAAGTATAATTGAGTTTTTAATTTCAGCACAAAAAGACCAGAAAATGAGAGAAATAGCTCAGAACGAGTTTTCATGCGAGTTTTCATTAAAAAAATAATCATCCACAAAAGTTACAAAATACTGAAAGCCTGTTTTAGAAATAACAGGACATGGACCCCAAACATCAGAATGAACTAACTCAAAAGGGGATGAACCCGTTTATTGACTCAAGGAACTAAGGTAAATGATGATGTTTGGCAAATTGATAAGATTCACATTCTAAAATTGATAAAGACTGAAATTGCGGATACAACTTCTTTAAAGTAGACAATGAAGGATGATCCGAACGACAATGAACCTCTAGAGGAGATAGAGCACCAGCACAAGCCAAAGATAACGAAACTTGTGCATCCAGAAGATAAAGGCCACTAGATTCACGTCCTCTACCAATAATCCGCTTCGTCAAATAATGCGCGCCCCAAAATGAGGGTTAGTCAAGTTAGGTCATTGGCGCGAGGAACGCCTCCCCCACGCAAGCCGCGGCACGCCAAAGTAACAGCCCAGGTTGGTAGACACACGCCGGACGCTCATCAACGCGAAAGACGAAAGCAGAGATAATGAAACGTGTTCATTCCAGAAGATAAAGGCCACTAGACTTAACGTCTTCTAGCGCATAATCCGCTCAAAAGATCCTGAAACACACAATATGTAGGATAAAATTTAACACAACAATTTAGTATACGAGTAATTTTGCTAACCGATAGTAGATTAAACGAAAAACGAGGCAAGCAAAAAACAGAAGACAATGAAAGAGATGGAATGGGATTGGCAGTGCCAATACATTTGACAGTAGATGTGGACCCATCAGCTAAAGTAACATGACGATTAAATAGTTCAGGTTGTTTTAATGAGGATAAAAGACTAGGGTTACCTGTCATGTGATCTGTGCAACCAGAATCAATGACCCACTCTGATGAGGTAGACATAAGACATGAAGGATTACCTGAATTGGCAGCAGCAGCAATCGAGGAATCAGTAGAATTAGAAGAACGGTATCTAGAGAGCTCAGCATACTCCGTAGCAAAAATTGTTACAGTGTTATCAGAAGAAGTAACTGCAGAATCTTGAGTGGCCATATTTACCCTTGCTGGCTTATTGATCAGTTTCTTGCAATACCGTTTAGTGTGACCAGGTTCATGGCAATAATGGCAGATAAGAATACTTGCCTCCCTAGAAATTGGCCCATTACTACGGGTATTTCCTCCTCTTCCTCTATTTCCTGGCTGCCTGGATACCTGATGTCGACTTACAAGGGCACTATTATCAGAAGAGGAGGGGGTATGAGAACCCTCAGTTCGTAACAATCCAGCAAAAGTCTCCTGAAGAGAGGTAATATCACTGCCTGAAAGAACCTGTGATTTGGCAGTTTCAAAAACCGGAGCAAGACCTGCAAGAAAACTCATCACAACCATTTGTTCTCGCTGGGTCTACCTACAAGAAAAACTCATCACACATAGTGGGATAGCGCAGGCCATTTGTTTCTCGTGCGTCTGTTGAAACCTTAACATCAGGACTAAAAGGGCATTAAAACATTAAGTTCGTCGTAAAATCTTTCTTAACTTCATGATAAGTTGTAAGGGCACCTGGTCAGGCCCTATAATCCCTTGACGACTTCATACAGTACGAGACAGATCTACCTTTCCCGCAGAGTACAAAAATTCAAAGATAAATCAGTTAATTCTTTAAACAAACTCACAATGATCTAAATTAAACCCCCAACCACTCACCGTCAATGAGAGGTTTGCGAATCAAACAGAAACAACAACTTAGCATCTTCTCTTAGCCAACTTTGTCTATTGTCACCAATTGGTGGATCATCAATTAGATGATCATCTTTTTCAACACTCCTTAAATAGATTCTAGTTGTCTTACTCCAATCTAAATAATTAGTTCCGTTCAATCTATGTTCTGTGATTTTATTCATTGCTGGGATCAATTCAGTAATAAGAGCTTTAGAATCTGTGGGTGTAGTTTCCATTAATAAAATATCCTAACAGCAACCAAATAATAGCACGAACTCAACAGAATAGTAGCAATACCAAAAGGAACCAAAAGCCGCAAATAGTAGTAGCAAAAAACAAAGAAAGCGCCTACCAGATGCTGCCGAAACCGAAAACTAACCACTGGAAAAGAGTCTGGACGTCGAGTCGATCCTGGGAGACCAAATCCGGTCACCGGAAACTGCCGGACGCGCCTCCACTCGCCGGCGCGTGAGCTGACGCTCGATTCTTCTGACGGCGCGTGAGACACACTCGCCGGTCTTCAGGTCACCGGATTTGGTGGAGACGCCGATCGGAGGTTACTCTTCCTCCCTTAGACGCCGATCGGAGGTTACTCTTCCTCCCTTGGGTGGCGGTGAGAAAAAAACAAAGGTCTAGATGGGTGACCTAGACTGACAGGCGCGAAATAGAGGTGTCGCCGGTCCCTGGAAACGTTAACGCAGAAACGGAAGAAGAAAAAAAAGCTAACGAGCTAAAGGCTCTGATACCATGTAAATTTAATGGGGAAAAATATTTTTCTATATTTGATTCATCAATAGGGACACATATATATATACACATACAAGATACTATAAACCTAATAGGAATCTAACTCTCTAACTCCTAATAAGAAGTTCTATTTACAAATAATCTGTTAACAGTATACGAACAAATTAATATATCACAATAAACTCTATTTAATCAAATGTTTGATTAATTTTCAAGAACTAATTTAATACTAGATTCATTTAATTTTTTATGGATAGCTAACATACAGGGTAATATTAGGAAAGAATGAGCAAAAATTATAGTTTTTAACCATATTAACTAAATTTTCTTAATCCATGTTGCAAGTTAAACCTGTTTGATTAATTTCAAGAACAATTTAATACTAGATCATTTAATTTTTATGGATACTAACATAAGGGTATATTAGGAAAAATAGCAAAAATTATAGTTTAACCATATTAACTAAATTTTCTTAATCCATGTGCAAGTTAAACCTGGATACAAATTATAGGATGGAAGAAGTAATAGATTAAGACAAAGTCTACTGACATAAATTCTTCATAGGTCCAAATTTTGCTCGTTGTTTTATTTATTAAAGGAAAGTTACTGTTTGCCAAATGGCACAAAAAGTTCCTTGTTGGTTTTCAATGTCTCAAGCGAATAGAAATAGTAAATAACTCATTTTCCCATTTTATTTTCTTACAAAAAGGTTTTCTGCTAGTTACTTTCTGTAAAAAGAAGGGAGACTAGTTCTCAAGCACCATATTTGTCACCATCTCTATATCTCAATAATATAATGATGATAATGAGCACCATTTCTTGGCTTCATTTTGGAAGGGTTCACTATATTTATATGTAAAATATAAAATGTTCTCAAATTTATATGTTCAGTTCATTACTTAGCAGATTTATTTCTCATTTTGGGTAACCACTTAGGTTTTAACTTTGTTCAAAATGTTTTATCTTACCTGGAAATAATCTAAAATTTTAAATGCTAACTTGCAGACTGTTGAAAAGAGGCCTAGAGAAATGATGCTAAGACGAGAGTTTGCACATGCAGTTGGGTATCTAAACACAGTTCTTTCAGAAGAAGACCATCTAAAATTTATCCACTGGGACTTTCACAAGTTTGCAAAGAGGTGTCTCTCTCACGTTTGTTTTCTTTTCTCTTCCAACTAATTATATTGTTGAGCTCACTTTTTTTTCGCCCTCCATGTTGTTCCCACAGCAAGTCTGCCAATGTTTTGGCTGTTTTGGGTGCTGTGGCGAGTGAAGCACTTGATTTGACGGGTTTTTACTATAGTGGTAAACCTAGCATTGTGAAGAGGAGAATCAACCAACTTACTCGAACAAGCACTGGAAGGTATTACATTCTTGTTTTGAAAATTTTCATGTATATCAATTGATATTTTTGCATTGATATTATGATCTCAAATATTTGTGGAACTTTTGATCTTGTGTTATGCTTCTTCCAATCATGTGTTTTTATGGTATGTCAAGGATGCTGGATTATCTGTTCATTCCTTCTTATTTTGGTCTTTGAGAAATTTATTAAACCTGGAATGGATTGTTGCAGAAAAGTATTTGGCTGTACCTTTTTCTTAATTCTTATGTTCTATGAATATTACCTGTTCTTGTGACTGATAATATTTCAAAATTTTCTATGTTCTAATTATGCTTTCCTTTATTTCAAGGTGTATTGATCCCACTCCATCAGTAATTAATAAAATTGATGTACTGTGAAACTTTTGGTTTCATGCTATGTTGACTTCATAGACTCATCAAATGAGACATATTATGCAATGATAAAGTTTTACGTTGAACACCGTTGAATAAACAGCTATGATGTTTACTAGCAAGAAAATGAAGTAGCTGTTGAATTCCTTGCTCATCGTGTAATGTTGATCTATGTTCCCATACTAGGTTACAGATTCGTTTGTGCTCTTTGCAGTGTCTTAATTTGAGATTATTGATAGTTTGTCAGTTTGCAAACCTCAAATACATTCAACCTTACCTCCAACCAAGCCTGAACCTTCAGCCGAACTGTAATGCAATCCTGTGCCAAGGAACATAACTATATGACTTTGCAATTTAAGAGTGTGGCTGGATCCTACAAATCCAAGTTAGAAGACAATCTTTGTATGGATTTGAATTTTGGACTACATATAAAGTACCATTTGTTAACCTCTTAAACTTACCATAAATTTGGATATACATGGATTATTATTAAGAAGTGGCTTTGCAGGAATGAAGTGGTGATAAAATAAGAAAATATGAGTATGTATTTGGATGACAGCCACTCAATATAGCTTATAGTGAAAGTTGCAACCTGAGCAATGGGTTACCACTTTTGTCATGAGATGTATAGTGCATTCCAGGCGTGAATGAGGGGGGATTTAGATTTCTGAATGGGTATCTAGACAGTTATCATAGGCATTGTGGACTCCCAATTTTTAACGTGCTTAAGTTTAATTGAAGACTGAAGCTCTTGTTTGTTTACTTTTTGTTGTTGAAGTTGTCTTCCTGATGGAGTTACGAACTGTACATCTAACTTAATGGTTGCGTAAATAATTCATTGTTATTTCTATCGGTCACTAATAGCATATATTTGGAGAAGCATAAGCGAAGCTTCTCAAATTCCATTAAGCATACTATATAAAGATTTTTGGGTAGTTTTATCATTTTGATGTATTTATCATGATGCTGTCATACACGTAGTGAACACGTGACTGGATTTATTGATTGTAAATAATGGCTGTTAAGCTTACAGTCGTGTTTGATGTACTTGTATCAGTTTCATTTTTTTATAGAAAGCTGCTATGCTTAGCATGTTAGCATTTTGACTGCTATTGAGATGTTTTTCTTTCCTCCCAATCTCATGAATCATTATATTTTGGAAAGTTTCGACTGCAATTCGTCTTTTTCTGCTTAGGTTGATTCAGTGTTTCTTTTGTTGAAGAATGAAGCTAGGTCACGCCTTTCAGAGAAGGCGTTCCATTTTATTTTCTTACCCTTAAACTTCAAAGTAAATGTTTGGGCAGTAAATTGAAGAGATCTTTTGGTAGAAAACTATATAGTGTTTTTCTTTTTTAAGGCTAATTCACTGGGTTTTATTTCCTGTCTTGTTTTGCATTCTTTACAGGGATGCTTCTCTCAGAGATTTGAGATCCGGCTCTGGGGAACTTGCAAGGATTGGAAGTGGTAGTGATAATCTTAGTTCTACAATGCATCGTGAGAGCGAGAAAGATTCTAGTCAACAGAATAAACAAGATAAGGTTGGTGGTGAAGCACCACGTTTCCAAAGTGGAGTGTTACGCACAAACTGCATTGACTGCCTGGATCGTACAAACGTTGCCCAGTATGCTTATGGCCTAGCAGCTTTAGGGCGCCAACTCCATGCAATGCGTCTTATAGATATTCCCAAAGTGGATCCTGACAGTAGCATTGCTGCAGCTCTTATGGATATGTATCAGGGTATGGGAGATGCTCTTGCCCAACAGTATGGTGGCTCTGCAGCTCATAACACTGTATGCTTTCTCATGTAAACTTTTGTTTTTAATCGGTGAGCTTGTTTATAGATTTGGTTTTAGCTTGGTCATGCCAATTCTTGGTTTCAGGTGTTCCCAGAGAGGCAGGGAAAGTGGAAAGCTACAACTCAATCTAGAGAATTTCTGAAGTCAATTAAGCGTTACTACAGCAATGCCTATACTGATGGTGAAAAGCAAGATGCAATAAATTTGTAACAGTTCTTCCCTTATCATTATTTCTACTAGATTTTGTGGCATTATTGCTTTGAGCAAAGCAAATAAGTTGAATTTCACACTGCAATCATAGATGTCAGTTGGAAGCTAGGACACTTGCAATTCCAAATGTTGGTGCTTGCAATTGTTTTTCCTCAATTATCACTTTTGTGCCGTTTTTTCTAGATTTCTGGGTTTCTTCCGACCGCAGGAAGGGAAACCTGCACTTTGGGAGTTGGATACGGACTATTATCTTCATGTTGCTGGAATTCAAGAAGACCCTGATCCTGAGACCTGGTAAAAATTTTAACTTCTGTGCTTTCTAGGCTTGCCTCAAGTTTTTAGAAAAGATGTTAGAAGTTAATAATTCATCTGCCTATAATTTTAATTTTGCTGGTAATTCTGTTTTTTTTTTTTTTTTTTTTTCAAGTTTTACACGACAGATGGTTAGAAGTTAAATAATTCATCTGCCTATAATTTTAATTTTGCTGGTGAATTCCTTTTTTTTTTTTTTTTTTCTCTCTCTCTCGCTTTGTTTTTTTTTTTTTTTTTTTCTTCTCTCTCTCGCTTTTTTTTGTCAGTATTCCACAAAGCAGTCCTAAGGCTGAAGGAGTTGGAATGACTCTTGCTCCCGTTCCAGCTTGCAGGGAAGACTTTTCCCGCATGAAACTGACATCATTTGATAAATTGATTGAGAGGACCTGTGGTACGATCAAGAATGTAAGACTTTATTGTGAGCCTGATCAAAGACCAAGTGGTGGTGTGGGAAATTCGGGTGTGGCACCTGATGCAGCGTAATATTTCCCTTAACCTTAGCTTTTGTTTCCTTATCTTTTCAACTTTTCTCTCTTCAATGTTTGTGCACATGTATGTGCTTTCTTGCATGTGCATACACAGTTCTTTTACCCTGTTATCCTTGAATCTTATAACCTACCTTGTGGTTTGGTTGTTCAAGTATCTAGTCTTTCTGTTTGATTGTATGGAATCGCACAGTCGTTTGGGTTCTTTTCTTTTTTATTATTGACTTTGTACTCCAAAATGTAAAGATAATTGCATGTCCTTAAAGTTACGTTGTTTTGCTTTCTTTTCCATGTTACCTCTTTTTAGGTGCATAAGAAGGAAATCAACTGATATGAAATTGAAAAGGAAGAAGGCAATATTTAGATTCCTTCAATGCTAACGACAATTTCAAAATGTATATGAAATGAAGAGACCTGATAACGTCTCACTTTTGGATGTAGCGCCATCAGGTTTTCTTCCTTAAAGATGTTAGGCTTCTCTTGGATTCTACGTGGACCATGTCTTAGAATATGCTTTTCTTCTTTCAGTGCCATAATTTTTAATTCAAGCATTGGTCTTATTTGTGCAAAAAGATTTTCTGAATTTGATGTATTGTTTGAAAGAAATAATGCTTGGTAACTTGTCCAACTACCAAAAATAATAACTGACACATGCTTTTTGTGCAGCGAAATACAGCTCAAAAGCCCAAATTGGCTTTTTGGCCAGAGAAAGTATGAAGAAAGTGGTTCTATTCCGAAGGCTGCTCAACAAGAAACTGAAAATGGAGGATCTCATAAAGATATCAAAGTTGATGGTTATGGTGACATAGATTGGCTATCTTCTGTTGGTGATATGAATGAAGAGGATATCTTCCAAAGGTATTTTTTTGATAGTATTGACCCATCTCATACATATATTCCTTGCCAGTCAATGGGCTTGCCATGAGCTGGTGGGTTTGTTGGTTTTGATATGTTGATACCATTTACAAAGGTATCCCTGGCAACGCTTATGAGTAATTTCGGATCTGGACATATTTTGGAAATTATTTACCACTAATGTCATGCATGCAAGGATATTAGTGCCTATGCATGTATTAAAACACATGTTGCAATTTATTAAACATTTTGACCTTTATCCTTTAAAGGAGGATAAATTGATTCTGGGACGACCTTTATGCAACTGTTTTTTATCATCATATTCGTTGCTTTTTCTTCTTTTGTCCTCTTTGTTATATTTGTTTTCAATTTTGTCTGGATGACTGAATGAGTAGTTATCAATGTTGATTTTACTGTCTAAGTGGATCTTGATTGTGCTTGGATTTCAAGGTACCTTGCAATGACCTCAGTTGATGAAGCCAGTGGTTGGTATGGCGGTACATTGCTGGGCGATCAAGATGAAAACAGTGAGATTTACAAACATTATGCAGAATTATGTCAGGTAAACCGATTAGCTTTGAGGAAACAAACATTATGAAAAATGCTTCATTGCGTTGTAAAATGGTAAACTTGTACTAATTGTGGTTCCTTTCCCTAGTTTGTTTTGAACCAATTTTGACATCTGATCTTCCTGCATATTACGTATCCTTTTTTTCACTTTTTAATTTAATTATTTTTAGGGTTAAATGCAAAATATTCCCTGAGATTTTCTTTCATATACATATTATTCCCTATTATTTCTAATTTGAGCCCGTGAGATTGTTAATGACTTGGTCCTTTATTATAATATTATAAATTTCTTACCACATCTGTAGTTTCTTAAAATCACTCAAAATCTTTTATTTTTCTGCTGATGGTGGTATATGGACTTGCTAATCTTGAAATAGTGGGGATCAAATTACATGTTAAAACAAACCTCGAGGGTATTTTTTTTTTTTTTTCCTCGAGGGTATTTTTTTTTTTTTTTCCTGCAGGGTATTTTTTTTTTTTTTTCCTGCTAACCATTATTTTCTTAGCGAAGAAATGATTAAGCATAGGAATTATATGAACTAATGTGTTTTCACCTACTGTATTGAGAAAACTGAAACCAAAATCAACAGGGCCCGGCAATGGAACCCTTCCAGAATGATACAGAAAGGGAGGAGTATTACGCCAATGTCCTACGCATGAACACAATCGATGGAATAGATGATGCTACAATTGAAGCAGAGATGGAAGCTGCTCTGAAGGAGTATGATCAAATTGGCGCTGATCTTGGGATTAATGCCAATATCCTGCAAATCCTTTGCTGAAGATACAAGTTCATTGATTCAATATATGTGCTGTAGAGAAAAAGGTAAGGTACAAAGATCTTCAAAATGCCTCTTCTTTTGCATGCATTTTATAAATATCATAAAACTCCAGAATTCTATTCCTAATTCTACTAATTGTTTGTGCATTATGTAACTAAAAGGCAAATACCTTTCTGATAAAGTGAAAGTCACATCATTTACATGCAACTTCAAGATTGTGAATTCTCTTAGTTCTGTAAGAGCTGAAAAATAGTCCTCAATACCCTTTTCTTTCCCCCTGAAATCTTTTTCCAAGTCGTTATTTCGTGTATTGTGCCATTCCAAGGAAAAAAATGCTGATGCTTTTGTAATGAACTTATGCTTTGTCAATAATACAAATTTTCATGTTTCCTCTTTCCATTATTACTTTCATGAAGCATTTTAATTTGGGTAGAAAACTTGAACTATGGAGTTAGACTTTGAAGAATTAAAATTTTTTTGCTTTTGTTCTTGTTTTCTTTTTATAATTTTTAACTTCTTATTCCATGAAATGGCTTAGATTGTTAGATGAATAATATGCAAAAAAAAAAAAAAAAAAAAAAAAAAAAAAAAAAAAAAAAAAAAAAAAAAAAATATTTGATATGATTAATAAAGAGTCTTGTTCATCTTGACTCTAATTGTATCACCATATCAAATCAATCCTACACAACATGGTTCAACAATCTCGGTGACTGTTTTAGATTATAAGCCCATGTTTGGTATGGTGTAATTAACCATGTAATGGAATGAGAATTATATTATATAACTGATTACATTATTTGGTTAGACTTTTATTTAACACTATAATGTAATTGAAATTAAATATGTAATCTTCATACTTAAATTGATGTAATATTCATAAAAAAACATATGTATTGGCCATTACATCAAGCATATATAATACCAATTACATCCGGTCACTCCAATCCAAACTCCAACACTATTACCATGCTTGACCATCGTCCACCATCCCAACCACCTCAACCACCACCACCACTAGCACCACCATAAGTGCTCTACCATTGCCACTTCCTCCACATCTACTAGCACCGCCTCAACCACTCGACCAGCTCCACCACCCCCATCGCACCACCACCACAACCGCCACTGCATCATTGCCACTGCATCACATTGCACCGCCACCATCACTTCACCATTGCTCTGTAACAACCACAACAACCACCACAAGTACTCTACCATCGCTATCATTCCTCAACCTCTACCACCACCACCATCACCGCTCTACTATTGCCATCATTCCTCCACCTCTACCACCATCACCATTACTACCTCAAGCACTCCACCAGCAACACCACCACAACCACCACCTCAGCCGCTCTCCCACCACCACCACCACCTTAACCACTCTCCCACCACCACCACCACCATCACCGCACCATCACCACCACCACCACCATCGCACCATCGCCACCACCACCACAATCATCGCACCATAACCACTACCGCACTACCACAATCACTCCACCATTGCTCTATCACCACCACCACAACCGCTCTATCACCACCACTACAACCACTCTACTATCACCATCATTACCGCCACTGCTTTATCATCATCACTTCAATCACTCTACCACCACCATTATCACATTTACCTAATAAAAATTATATTTTAGAGTTTAATATGCAAAATGGAATAAAAATTATATTTTATTATAGGAAAGAGAAGAATAGAATGAAAAAAATACTAAAAATATCAAAATGCCCATAATTTTATATTGTAACTTAATTTATTCAATGAAAATATATGAAAAACTCAATTTCTAATGACTTCAACTTTTATTTTGTTATATTACATTTTTCGGGTTACCTGTTCATTTTTCAGTTCAAATAAATTTATAAATCTAAAAATGGTCTTTAATAATATAAATAGTGAATAGCTTTTAGTTCAAATATTTCTTTTGTATTAATAATGATGTCGTGGTGGTGTAGTGTTTGAGGTGGTGGTAGTAGAGTGGCGGTTGTGGTGGTAGAGTGATGGTGGTGGTGGTGGTGATATACTAATTACATTATATATTTATAAACAAATATAAAAAAGAATAACAATTACATTTATCAATTACATTACCAAACATAGTAATAGAATCTTGATTACATTCTATTACATTACATATAGCAATAGAATCTTGATTACATTACATTTGTGATTACATTATATTGCATTACATCAAACCAAATATACGTAAGTATTTGATAGTGGGTAGGCTAATGGGAATCAATGGATTAATATAAATGTGTTTAGAAAGTTATAATAAGCTTGTGTATTCAAAAGAATGTTTCCATCTTTCGAGAAAAGGAAATCGTATTTTTTAAAATGACTTTAAGATCGTTTAGATTGATAGAATGATATAATGCGGGATCCATAGAATTTCACATTTTATCATTTGGTTGAAAATAAAATCATTGATTTGAACATTATTTTTGGAATGGAAAGAGATTAATTTGGCCCTTAAACTTATTAAAAAAAATCAGAGTTGACCTATTAGGTCAATTCAACCTTTGAACTTGTTCAGGATATTAAAAATGTTAAATTTGATTTCTTAAATCAATTTAATTCTACATTTTCACTATACCTATAGTGTGAGAATCTTTGTATAAATGCTTACAAAAATTATAGCTGGAATCGGGATGTATGATTTATTTAAAGATTAGTTAAATATGGAATAGAGAAAATGATATATAAAGTATATTATATCTCACTTTTCTTTGATGGATGATTTTGAGTTCTATGTATTAATTTGAACATTTTAGAGTTAATTTTTATTGCATATAAAATCCATATATTTTTCATGTTGAACATATTAAAATTATACTACATGTTTTTTAATTTTACTGTGTCAGAAAAAATGATATTTTATGGATTTTAAACTTCTATTCTCAGGGGTTAAATTAGCCTAAAATGTCCAATTTGACATTTTTAATCATTTTCTACAAATTCAGGTCAAATTTAGCCTTTTTAATTTTGCTAAACAAGTTCGGGGCTATATTGGTCTTTATTCTTTTTTGGAATAAATTTAAATAATTTCAATTTAAATATATCATAATCAGATCTAAATTCGAGACCAAGTTATAAATCTCACATTATATATTTGTCATATAAAGTGAATATGAAAAAATAAACGGAATAAAGGTCAATTTGGCCCCTTGAATTTGTTTAGTGAGATTAAAAATTTAATCTCTCAACTTGTTTTAAAATTTTTACAAATTAATAAATTGATTCAATTTAATATGATTGACTTTTCTCCTTTTTTATTTTGTACTAAAAACATTGTATCAAACTTTTCCAACACTTTTGAATTGAAGTTTCAATTCATAAAAGCATCATTTTTATAACCCAGTAAATTTACAAAACATGCAGTATAAATTTAAAATGTTCAATATGAGAAATATATGGATTTCATATCAACTTTAAAATGTTCAAATTAATATATTTATGAACTCAAAACATTAGTCAAAGTAAAGAAGATATAATATACTTCATATATTTTTCCTCTATTTCATATATAATTATTTTTTTAATAAATTAATAGCCCGATCTCAATTATAATCTTAAATGTCTAAGTACAATAAAGAAAAACGGCTAAATTAATCCAAAATATTAAGTCTGATCTTTTTAATTATTTAAAATAAGTTCAGGTGTTAAATTGGCCGAAAAGGTCAAATCTTATCCTTTTGATTCCGCTCAATAAGTTCAGAGCCTAAATTGACCTTTCTTCTAAAATAAACTGCTAAAAAAATTTGAAGTACCTAAAATTTATAGGATACTGGAAAAATTAATTCTAAAAAAATTTATTATAACGTTAATGAATATTATCAAGTTACTTTTTTTGTTTTACTTTAATAGCAATAAATTGACATTCTTCCACTTTAAGTGGTTACGGAGAGTATATTTATTAGATGTAATTTATTGTTATGGTTATATTTATTTTTCTCTTTTTTTTTATCATTTCTTTAATTGTAATTAAATTAAAATTTTGACTACATACATAACTAAAAATTATTCATTACGTTAAGATAAAAAATAAAATGAAAGTATTACTCTAACATAGTGCTTAAATATGAGATAAAATTAGCATTTGCTTTTTAGTAAAATTAATTGAAAAGTTTTTAATTCAAAAAAGGAAATTCAGATGTTCTGTTATGTATTTTTAGAAAATCAATATGTTTCAATCATTACATTTATAAAAATCAAATTTATTTTGAAAATAAAAGAGGCAAAACACACTTAATTAAAACATTACTATATTGCATTAATGAAAACTTTTTAATTTCTTTGTCATAATTAATAAATCAAACAATAATTTTATAATATTAATGATAAAAATCTTCAATTTCTTTTTTCAATAATTATTAACTCATAATAAATTTATTGCATTCACCATTTTGTTTAATTCAACTCTATATATTATCAATTTTTTTTGTTCACAATAATATATGGTTGTTAAAAAATAATGCTATTAAAATTATTTTTAAAAAAATAAAATTGTACGTACCACGCGTACATTTGACTAGTTTTAGATAATATATATGTACGAGTCCATGATCCATCTCAGCTTGACCTGCCTGTCAGCTTCAAGCTCACTTCTCCAATAGATTGGCTTTGAAATTCATGACTTAAGATTAACTAGGTGGTGGTTGATAATTTTGAATCATGACTTTCTTTCTTGATCTTGATGAGAATTTTGTTTATATATTTTTTTTTTGAGAAAAACCTCAAGATAATTTAAATTAAATAAACAAGTATTTTTATTTTCTTACTAATAATGTGGAGAGTGAGAAATTTCGGATTTGAATCCTCTGGATTTAGTGAATCAAGATGATAACTACCCTATTATATAGTCCATAAATTATTTCGGTTTGTTGAACTTACCAATAATAAAAAATTATTATTATTATTAAATTTAAATTTTTTTTGACTATCAACATGTGAAAACTAGAGGATAAAAGAAATTCCAAACTTTTAAAAAATTTGTTGATATAGTTGGCTATTTCTTTCAGAGTTGTCAGATACAAATTCATTTTTCTATATTTGAGCCAAACGTTTATATATAATATTTTTCAATCAACATATTGATTTTCTATATTTAATTGTAATATTTCTCTATATTACTTCTGTAAGAAATTTAATATTCTTTAATAAATTTACAAATTTAAAAAGGGTGAGTTTTAAATTCGGACATTTTTTGACTTGTTAGGTTAAAAAAAAAACAAAGAAAATGAAACCTAAATGAAATAAAACAAAGAGCTAAAGAAAAAGCAGCAATAAACTAGAAGTTAAAAGCCATCAGCTTAAATCTTCACTTTCTTTCTTCATGCAACCACTCAGATTTCCACTGCAATTGGGTGGTTGCGGTAAGGCC